TACGTGTCAGAGCAGGGAAGATGGCCGTGGGTCGTGTTCATCACCCGATGCGGAGTTCACGAACGGAAGCAAAATTTTGCAAAAGTTGCTGTTTGCAAACCAAATTGTTCATGAACAGAAGCGTTCGTGAACCAAGCTATTACTGTAACTAGTTGTACTTTCCATAGGGTAGTTTACTACACTTGGTCTTTTGAACTTTAGACTTGAATCTGTTTCCCAGGGACCATTTTGATATTCTGAGACTTAAATCTGTGGAGTCCTTGGGGTTCTCTGAGCTTGGTTGTTTCCTTGCAAACGTTTTGTTACCCAGCTAGGTAACATCTTCAGGCTAGCACTGAAGATGTTATCTAGCCAGGTAACGAAACGTTTGCAAGAAAACAACCAAGCTCAGAGAACCCCAAGGACTCCACAGTTCAACCCTGAGCTATACATATTCTCTTCTGTTGGTACCTAAATCTGTTTCCCAAAGCCCTGCATGTTGGTTGCTGTTATTAAGAGATTTTTCCAACGCTCACCCCCACCCCCTCACTGCTGCCACCACTACTGCCTTAAGCTAAATAACCATGTGAAGAGGAGATAGTAGGGAGATAGAGACGAACAGCTAGCCTTTCCCTTTGTATTCAATGAGATGCTTCCAAATATCTTGCAATGCTCTGCAAACATGGCAGTTAAACTTGGCAAAAAATGAAGATAATGCTAGAAAGGGCCTGTATGAGGCTATGAGAAGCCTATAGAAATCAGTAACACATAATAATTCTTAGTATTTATATAGTTTCAGAGTCTTTCTTGTCGTGTCAATTTCTTGCAGCCCAAGGTCTTACATGACAGGCTGTGGTGAACATAAAGGTAGTTTAGCTCTTGGAGGAAACGTGTGATACAAATACAAAAAAGGAAATAAATATACTATTTTAGCCATCTTTACAGCAGTCCTAGAAAGTAAGCTGACCTTATTATCACCATAGGGTCCAATCTATTATTATTATTTTATTATTTATCGAATTTGTCACCGCTCATCTCGTTAAATGACTCTGGGTGGTTTACAAAACAATTAAAATCAATTAAAATTACAAAATTACAATAATAAATAAAAAATAAAAAGTTCCAAAATAATTGGTGATCGCTCAGGGAGTGTCATCGAGGCGCTAGCCACCCCCAGGATTGGGTAGAGTTGTTATCCCCACACACAAGCTGGCAGAGCCAGGTCTTCAGGTTTTTCTGGAAGGCTAGTAGGGTAGGGGCCTGCTGTACCACTTGGGGGAGAATGTTCTAAAGGGTGGAAGCAACAGCATAGAAGGCTCTCCTCCTGGGCCCTGCCAGTCAACATTCTCTCGCTGATGGGACCTGCAACATGCCCTCTCAGGTAACCTGGACCTGTTACAGACACTGCTCCCAGGTTCGGCTTATGGTCACTCACTCACACACTCACAGCCTG